CTTTGCAGGAATACCAAGGTGTCCCTGTGCTGCAGAGGGACATTTGGCACTGGCCATTGCATGGCTTTGCAATATATCTATCTATCTATTTATTTATTTATTTTAAGGTCATAAATGCATTCATGAAAGGCAGCTTTCCAAATCCTGTTTTGGTGGATCCAAAAAGTACCACTTCCCCAAGCACTGGAGGGGAGGGAATCTGTACATGTTTGCCTACTTTTTAAAAAAAAAATGATGTATTTCCCCCTTCCCTTTGCATGGAGCTGGCCTGTCAAATTTTGTGGAAAGGGGCTACTTGCCCTTTTTTGAGGACAATGCCCTGGTTTCTTTGGAAAGATCTGCTGCCCCAGATGTTCCCCAGATGTTGATACTGCCCCCCCCCCTCCTGCAGGAGCACTTAAAAACATAAGGAAACCCCTGTGAAGGGAGGCAGACTTGTCCCCTTAAATCACAGGCCTTAATGCCCCAGTTCCTCTGGAATTCCGCTGAAGTTTTGCCTCTTAGAAGAGGGCAAGTCAGACTTCCTAGCCCCTCTAAGAAGCCCTGAGTGTCCTGCTTGGAAGGGGGAAATAGATGGGTATCTCCAAATAACCCTTGTTTACAATCCTTGGGTTTTGGGGGTGGGGGGTTCCTCTCTGTTATCCACACTTAGGAAAATGAAGACACAGTGTCAATGCCAAATTGCAACACTCCTATTTATTTCCCGAATTTTTTTCTCTTTTCCTTTTTTAGGCAGGGGCAAGGCATGCATACTTTACAGCAGAATCCTCAGATTTTTGGAGGGAAGAACTCATGTGGCCCTGAGCTACCCTTGTGTTCCCAAAAGGGCTCCAGAAGCTGGCGGGAAGGAGCAACTGAAGCCCAGCAGCCCAGCAGGCCTGCCTTGCCCCAGCCTGACCAGTGAGTTTCTTGTGGGTCAGGTTTGGCTTGCCAGTCGCTGCTCTGACAGGCAGCATTCTCTCCCTCCTCATGCCACTCCTACTTCCTGGAGAGGAAATGAAACTGATAGCCCCCCCCACCCACAAGGTGAGCAGTCGGCATGTGACAGAGGCTGGTGGCTTGCCCACACCCTGCTGCCAGTGTCTGTGCTGTGGGTTCGCTTGCTCGCAGTTTTAGTCCCATCCTCCTTGCAGCCTGGCGGACAGCTGCTTGGGCACTTTGTCAGCGGTCCTCAGCTAGAGGCTCTTGATCACTGTGGCAGCCTTTGTTTCAGTTTGGCCATGGCTTGGCATGCCATCCAAGTATGGAAATTTAAATAGACTCCTTTACAAATCATGGCTCGTTGAAGTGGCTAATAAGCCATCCCAGGAAGGCTCAGATGACATATGAGACTGCCCTCCCGCAGGTCTTGGCCTACCGTGTGACTAATGACTGGCAACTAACCATGGGTTAACCATGAATAACTCATAGTGTCTAGGTTAATTAATGCATGATTTGCTACTGTTTCTCCAGAAACGTGGTGGGATGTACTTTTGCACTTTCCTGAGCACCTAGAGTCTCAGGCAAAAGGCCAAAATATGCACCACCTGTAGAATTGTGGGTGGGGGGAGAGGGCCTTGCTGTATATGTGGTCTGAATCAGTCGACTCCCTTTTTGCAAGCAAGGAACACTCTCACCTTTGGCTGTTTTTGCTACCTTACATTTTGGCAGCTGTCAAGAGAAAGCAAAGTGGGAAGCATCTACTTGGAGCCCTTTCAAGGCAACGTCCAGGATTGGGACAAGGAACTGCTCCACTCTGGCAACAGGAACCTCTTCAGACCATCAGCTCAGCTGGTTTCAAAACCTGCATTTATGTAACTGCGCAATTGCTGCTTTGACAGCCATGTCGAAGAGAACTTTTTTTAAATGTGCACAAAATGTGTGCAAAGAGGCTGGTTATTTTTAAAAAACAGCAAGAACAACAGCTCACAGAACCTGGGCACACAGTCCAAATTAGCTCAGCCTTCATCAGAACACTCATACGGAGAAATCAGGCTGTGCCCAGCAGATGGCAGGCCATCCTCATCAAAAGAGGAAGAGCAGTGATGCACCAATACAGTTCATTGCGTGTGCTCACCCATTGCAAGAAGTCAGCACTCTGGCACTTCTGTCTTTATTGTTTCTTGTAAAACTAAATCATTCATCCTAAATTAGAATGTTTTAGTACGTGTATAAATGAATAGATGGGCATGATATTACAGTTTACACTGTTGTTATTGGAGAGAACAAATATATAGGCTCAAAGAAGCAATTTAAGTTGTATAATTTGTTATTTACTTTGCTATCATGAGTCTTTAATGACCCAGAGGAGCTTCAGTAAAATCCATGAATGTTATGACAAACATATACAGGAAAATAATTTCCCTTTCTAGGAAAATCAAATCAAATGCATATAAACAAATCTCATGGTGTGAATGTAGAAACGATATTATCCCAGAAAATCCACAATACCCAAACAACACAAACACCAATTGGATTGATCCTGGGTGCTGCCGGACAGACAGCCCCCAGCTGTTACAAATCAGAACTAACCGATTCCGTCTTCCCCACCTTGATCATCTTGTGTGCTAAGAGAAAAAGCAGAGGAGACAGCAGGGAATCACAGAAGGGTTACAAATGAAAGATGATGTTGCCAGAACTACCAGCAAAAGTCTGTGGACAAGGCAGGATGATAACACAATGAAAGCCTCATTTGGAAACTTCTCCATCTCACCAGAATATTTTTCTTTTACATGAAAGTCTAGTTTTTATCCACAGTGTTACAAAACCCAGGACTGAATCTGCTTCCTGTACAGATAGTATTTCCCCCTGCTTGCAACTGCAATGCGGATTTCTGCCAAAAGGCATCAGTTTTAAATGTCAGTGGTATTATGAAAGATTTAGTTCTGTGCTGGAGATTACCTGTTAACCAGTCTTCCTCACTGTCCTAATGCAGCAGATACTCCGTTCCTTATGGAACTAAGGTAAAGTCTACATCATAGGAAAGTACATTCGTCAAAAGTGAGCTAATAGGAATACTGCTAAGGAACAAAATACCTATTATGCTAAAATACACGAGATCTGCCTCAGGAGCCCTGTCCCAAGGGGAAGGAGATCTCCCAACCTCCTTTCCACCAGGACTTTCTTCCTGAAATCTGCACCCACCACCCAGGGAGATTCCAGGGCCCAGGGGTTAAAATGAAGGGCAGGGAAAGCCCTCCAGATCTGGTGGTGCCATTTGCTCACTTTGCAATTAACATTATGTGCAATCCAGCCCTAAGTTCCCTGAAAGAATATAGCAGGGGTGGGGAAAACCTGGGTCCATGGCAGAAGTTAGGGTAGCTGCATGCTGTACTTGAAGGGCTGTCCAGTCGAAGCCAGGTATATAGATCAAGAACCATCAGATGAAAGAACTGGGCACCTTCTTTTGCCCTTGTTTTAGTTATGTGTTTCTTCTCTCCCTCTCTCTCCCTCATTCTCTCAGCAATGCATTAATGGTACACCTATTTTAGACACATTCCAGTGTGTCAGCACCCATCTTGGACAAACCGGTCCCACACCTCCAGCTGAGGCCCGACCAAAGCAGAGTGGAGTGGTACATTGTTCTGTATGATCTGGGACAGGTTTCTGCTGATGGAGCCTAGAACTGTGCAGGGCGGAGATGGTGCTGATGAGGGCAGTAGGACGCGGAAGATGGTCCTACACAAACATTCTTGGCTGTAGGTCCCTTCACTTAGCTATGGACAGCCTACAAGGATGAACTCACCCACACAGCACACCTTTCATCTGGTGCCTTCCTCCAGACGTCTCCTCCATGGGAGCTTCACAGGGTGGCAAAACGGTGGAGGGTCCCCGTGGTGGTAGCCTTCATCATGGAACAGCCTCCACACTGAGCTCCACCTACCCTTCGTTCCCAGGCATTTGGCAGCATATCATAAGCAGACCTGCCATTTTTGTTGCTATTTTATATTATTTTGTGAATATCTTATATGATGCTATTATGCTTTTAAAGTGTTGATCTTTTCTACACTTTGGCGTTGGCTAATGGGTAGTATAGAATGTAGTAGTAGTAGTTCTTGATCTATGACTTTCCTGTTTGACCAAGGAAAACGATGCCCATCTTGATCATCTTGAAACATTTGTTTCACGGATAGCGACTAAATCAGGGGTCTCAAACTCAACTCACCTGGGGGCAGTCTGGGTGAGGCTGGGCCGCGTCAAGTGTCCCAGCACTGCGGTGGTGGTGGGCCGCTCATCCCGCGGCTGGCCCGGGCACCGCCGGCGCTTTGAAGGCCGCCGGGCCCCTTCCCCGTGCCCCGCCCGTCCCGGCAAGTGGCCCGCGGGCCGTGAGTTTGAGGCCCCTGGACTAAATGATAGACAAAATGGAGCACCTGTTTTGAAGGTTTGCAAATCAGCAGGAGAGTCTGTTAATCTTCTAAGCTGCCACCAGGCAGCTGCGTTGTTCTTGCTGCTACGAAACATGGCAAGCCCTCTATGGAGAACAGGAGGCACTTCAACCAACATGCAGAGGTTTCTCGGTTGGAACAAAACAAGCTAGGACTTTCTGTGTGTGTGCATGAGCCGTTCACGTTTTACTTAAAAATAAATTATTGAGTGGGACATCTTCTCATCTTACATCCAAAGTGTGCTTTAATGGGCAACATTATGAGGGTGTTGAGCCTCAAGCCCATGGGACCAATCAAGCCGAGCAAGGGCTCCGGGGCGGGGGGGTTTCTCCAACAGCCATACCTTCCTTCGCCAGCTCCTCCTGCTTTCCCCTGATGGTTTGGTCTTTTCCCAGGCTTGAGAAAGTCTTTCTAAAAGATTGAAATGCTTCTCCTTAGACTTGGTAGTGGTCTGTGAGAGCTTTAGCTAAGATATGCTAATAGTTTGGCTCCACTAATTTGCCTTTGGACACATCCACCCCTGGAATGCAGGTTCTGCAAACTTCTCCAAAAGTGACCTCCACCCTCTGGTTGAAAGAGCTTTGGCACCCTCATTTTAACAACCGGCCTTTGAAAGGCATAGATCAAAACAAAATACTTTTCTAAAGATCATGTTTTTATTATTTAAAAGAGCTTATGCTTCACAAAACCAAATGGCCAAGAGGGAATGATATAGCAAAAGTTGGCACTTTACAAAAATACACTTTTGGGGAAAGGGAGCCAGTATACAAAAATGCAACGTTCCAACACACTATTTACAACCAGAGGCAGCAGCAATATTAAAGCGATTGTTACAAAAATAAATATTTTACTCATTAAAGTATAGATGAAGTTATCCGTGTACAGTAAAAGTCCGACTTCATCATTCAGTTCCAGGACTACATTTGAAACTAGCCTTGAAGGTAAAAATATTCCTGCTTCTATAAACTGCACAGCTTATATGGAGCCTTGCAGACTGAAATGCTGCATGGTCTCCCGAAATGGAGCTCTATCCCTCCATCACGCATCTACTGAGCTCTCCAGAGAGACATTTCCTGTAGACACAGACCTATACTTCTCATGGATACATGTAGGTTATTCTTCGGGTTCAATTTATTGCACTTCCATCACATTTCATAGAACTCTTTGTACCTTTTCATACATCTGTCCTGGTAGGGCCATACATTTGCGGTACCTCTTAGGATGGACCACATATGCTCCTTTCTAAAGGTTTCATACAAGTAAGGATATGACAGCATAGACCTTGACATAACAGGATACTTCAAAATGTAAATACATAGCTTGTAGTAGCATTCAGTTAGAGACGCTGTCTGCAAGGCTACTCACGATTCACAGAAGAGTTACACAGCACAGTACAGGTAACAGGTACAAGACTTCAGCAAAATAAGATTTCAAACAATGCAAGCAATTCCCAAGGAATGTGGAATAAAAGCAACACAAGCTGCAGTGACAGACACGTTCCTTCTAGAAGAGTGAGCGTGTGCCAAATGACACACAGAAAAGGCAAGAGGCATTTGACGGACCAGTTCATGCAGTATTTCTCATTTGTTCCCCAGAGTATCAAATGATATTTTACAGATATGAATGCAGCACTCACAGATTGATCATCACAGACAGAGCTCATGTTATCAGGGTGTCAACTCAAAGAAATTAATGAGTTGTTAACTGCTCTATATGCACATGTGAGCCAGCTCTTACATGGTTGCAATGATTTGATAATAATTTACCAAAGCTTGCAATTTTTCCAAAAGAACTTGTGATTTTAAACATTCAAATGCAAAAGGATGCAAAACAGACAGATTTGTCACTCAGTAAATGAGCCTCACACCAGCATAAATGCCACAACCTGTTGCATTTACACAAAAATCATGAGCCAATGTAGGGATTGTGCTGGTACAGAAGGATGGCTTGACAGCAAAAAAACTAATACATCTGAAAAACCAATGTGATGATTGGCAGCTTACAAATTTATCTCTAGATAGGGTGATCCTATGGCCCTAGACAGCCATAGAATATTGCAGTTTACCACCTTCAAGGCTGGAAACCTCTCCAACCTCAGAGACAGCAATCTGCATTTCAGTCCTTTCCATTTCTTGTAGCCAGTATGGAAAGAACTGCTCCTACAGGACCTCAGAGATCAGAAAATCTATCTTGGAGTAAAGGGAGCAGAGGGGAGGCTGAGTCTGCTAGGTTGTTGTTTTGTATTTTAAGATCTCAAACTAAACTTAAACACTCCTATCTATGATGGTTAGGACCCTAATTTCCATTCATAGGATGTAAGCTTCCCACTTCTCCCCTTCCTTGGCAAGCCCCTGTGCCCCAAAATTTTTCTCTGAGAGTCAGCAACTCCTTGACAATGCTGTGGATGTGCTGGACATGGAATAGGAAGTGGTAGAAATCAATCCTCCCCTTTTGCTAACCTACTGGTAACTTAGGGTGCAGGCCAATGTATCCATATTCCATTACTGCTTTGCTTGAGAGACAGATGAGTATTGCACACAGAGCGGACTTCCAGGGCAGAAAATCTCTCCAGGCAGATGCCTCAGGGAAATGTCAAATGAAAACTCAAAAGTACTTCAGTCCTTTCAATTCCTTAAACTGGAAAGTTTAAGGAATTGCTAATTTCCTCCTTTAGTCTGTTCTTCATAACAAGTAATTACCACCTTAAAATTGCAACCATCTGCCAATTCTCAGGCAATGTACAAAAATGCTATACATACGGTAATCTAACATCCCCGTCCAACCACAAAGACACCCAGTGTAAAGGTAAAAAGCTGTAAAAAAGCATAACTGGAACACAGGAAGTTGTCTTCTACCAAGAGAGATCATTGGTCTGTCTAGCTAAATTCTGTGTACACTAACTGTCTGCAGCTCTGCAGGGGCCTTTCTCAGTCCTGCCTAGAGATGCCTCAGCTTGAGCATTTTGTTTGCCAGCTATGTGCCCTGCTCCCCTTTCTCTCTAGGTATCTGGAGACCAGAGACCTGGGACACACTCAAACTAAATGGAAATGGCCAGTTGGGCTTCTATGCCTCTCTTTCTGTCTTTTTCGCAAAGCAGCCACGATCATTTGATTGCATTATCTCCTACTATGAAGATATAATCAAGGGTTTACTAAAAGAAATGATGGGCACCTTTCACATGCAGACCCAGCCTTGAGTAAACATCGCAACATTGGAGGATTGGAGAGACCTACAGGGCAATGCAAATTATACACACCCTCTTCCTGGCAATAGGAATCCCTCTTGTGGGAGAGTGCAGATTTCTTGTGAAATCCCACATAATCTTTCCTGTCCACATTGTACACACTCCAAAAAGCAAAACAAAACAGAGCAAAAATAATCCACCTTGAACAGAACAGAGCAGAAGTAGAGGTGGAAGGGCACTATAGGCTGTTAAGGAACCGCTGCTCCGCTTCCACGTGGAGTCACCCATCTGGCTGCAGGCTTGCACCTTTCCAGCTTAGGAAGGCGACTTGACATGCTAGTTCAATGTAAAGCCATGCAGGCATCCACAGCTATGGGTGCCCAAGCTGACAGCGCCACAACTAAATGGGCAGCTGCTGGGGCAGTTCCACCACACCTAACCCCATATGGTGACCTACTCTAACAGAGTATTCTAAAGCCAGGGGCTCTTCTTTTGAAAAAAAAAGCCCAAATAATTTAAAAAAAGACTGCTGTCCTGTTCCAAATACATGGCAGGTGTATTTCCAGAAAGCCACAATATATTCTCCTACCGTCTAAATCTGCATTATGTAAATCATCACCATTATTATAATAATAATGTCATCCTTCACTTCTGTCACTTTCTTATAGATCAGTGCAGCTCCTGAGTAAAAGCACTTCTTTGAGCCAGACTACTGCTTCTTTGAATAGTTTGGGTTTTCCTCATTTAAGGATGTATTTCTTATGCATAAGTCATGATATGACCTCATTTGAATTCTTGGCACCACGAAACAATCTAATTTACCCTAACAACAGTGGTTCTTAGTGAAGAAGTTGGAATACTTCCTTCAGAGATCACAAGTCCAAAACAGCAGGTATGTAACAAATGCAGTTTCCAGCTACAAAGTCTCACATGACACTTAAAATAAATGGCCACCTTTAAGGCAACAAATCATAAAACAAGAACTTTCACTTCACAGTATTATGTTCTGCCGAATGTCTCTCATTTGGTTAAGAAATGTTTAAATAAAATGTGTGAATTATATACACATTGCACCAGATACTTTACGAAGTTCTGTGAAAAAGCCTTCAGTGCCTTGATTGATTTGGACTGAACTGCTCTCTCATGTCAAGGGTAAAGGCACACTTGCTACCAGGTGGGTCAGACCGTGGGTCCTGCTCCTGCCTCCTGTGACTGGCAGCAGCTCCCTCCACATCTTCAGCAGAGCTCCTTCACATCACTTGCTGTCTGATTCTTCCCACCGAAGATGCCGGGGATGTGTGTTGCCCTTTGCACGTGTTTCCTTTGCTCATAAGACTCTACCAACATATCTGAGTTTCAAACAGATAACAGACGGTACATTCTGATTTCAGCCAGTAGGAACGCTTGCTTTCCCTGGCAGCAAGGGGAATGTGTTCTGCCATGGGGAGGCAAAGAGGCTCGCCATGCTCCAGGACATCTTGGAAGGCCAGAAGGAACATAGTAAGCTCAGCATCCAAGTGGGTTAGCATCAATGCACACGAATCTGTGGAGATCTTACAAGGCAAGCCTCTGGCTTGTTCTTAACTGTGGGAATCTGCAAGAATGCTCCCGGCCTAATACCTTGCAAAGACCTCAGTTCTTGAGGTGAGCTGGAAAGCTATTCCTCTCACATGGGACCCAAAGTGGGGGTTAAGGCAGGCAACACAGGGTAGGATAGAAAGCTTGAGTACATTCAGGCTTTACCTAGAATAAAACCCTTTCGAAGAATGAATACCATAATTTCTTCGCTTCTCTCCATGGCATGAGCACAAACCACCAGTAACTTGGCCTTCCCATGGCCAGTTCTCAGATATACCTGGCAACCAAGCTGGTGGAGTTCAAAGGCTTGTGTTGGCACAGTGATGTCAGTGGATAGGAGAGGAAGTCAGTGGATAGGTCCCACATCCTTCCCTGCCTCAAAATTAATATATCACTTTTCATTTACCAGTCAATGCTGATTCGACAGCAACCATGAGCCTGAGCCTATCCTAACCCTAGTGAATCTGAACCACTTTGGCAAGCCATTTCTGGCATTCTGGGCTTTAGGTTTTTAAATACTGTACTTAGTATCCAGTGAGGTAGAGCAAAATCAAAAAATGCAAAAATAGCATGCAAATGATTTCCTTCCATCTCCTTCTCTGCAGGGTGTGCAGACTTAAGCTTTGGAATCATTTTGTATACAGAGCTGAGAAATGGTTTTCTTGATGCGAAGGGCTGTCAGTCGAGCTGCCCCGTTGGTGTACCAGCATTCACGCATTATTCGGCCTATGATTCTGAGTGCCTTAAGAAAGAACAAAGCAGAGTAAGAAAAGGCATCCGTGGTTCAACAATTGCCAGCAGGCAAGAGATGTCAATCTCTTAAGCATCTATATTTTAAGTTGATGTTGTTGCCATTAGGCGATTGTGCTTTGGCTTGAGTACCGCTTTCCCTTCTGTTCATGGAACGGGGCTTTCCTGCTTCCACCTTCCCTCTCCAGCATGTCCACAGAATGTGCTCCTGTGTACGGAGGAATCCTCTGGAACAGCACCGCATGCAGCAGCGGGGAGAAGAAGCAGGAGACCGCAGGAACCTTGCGTCATGCAAACAGAAGCACTTGCTAGTCTTGCAACTACTCCTCCTGATCCATACCTCTGTACAAACTTTCATCAGAAAAGAAATCCAGAAATTCCAGACTGATAAGCTGATGATGTAACAGCCCCCTTTGTTGCCCAACACTCCTCGATTCTTGACTGCTAGGAAAATTAAGATTTCTATTCTTAGACAATGGCCTTCTGGAGAAAGTAGCACTCAGTCTGAAATATTACAATATTTGGGTTTGAATGAATACACACATGCACAAACTGTGTGTCCCTTAGAACAGCAGCTCTGTGACCAAGCCCCTACTCAGCTGGTAAGCAAAAGGCTCTATATACAAACCCAAAATTAGCGTTTTAATTCATTGTTTCCATTAAAATAAATGAAATGTTCCAAATTAATCATTATTTAATTATTTAATTGCTCATTACATTATTATTTAATTTTTCTACCTTTGGGAGTACTACGTTTTGTAAGGGCGCACATCCACAACTGCTACTCTCTGAATTTCTAGGGTGAGTTATGTGACATAATTTCACTCCTCTACTCCCAGTCATTATGCCATAAAATTCTCAGCTGCAAGGCAGAGCAATGGTTACCGAGCTGGATGGCTTCACCAATTCACAGAGGATAAAGCGATCCACAGCTACTACTCCTCATGACTGTATATGACCTCCAGCATCAGAGACAGGATGCCTACAAGCCAGTTGCCGGAGAGACCAGTCGGAGAGCACCAACGCACTCCTGTCCTGCCTGGGACTGCATGTCAACACTGTGTGCACAGAAGACTGGATTCAACAAGCCTCTGGTCGGATCCAACACAGCTCTGCGTATGCTGTCCTATGGGCTTTGGAGAGAGCATTACCAGAGCTCGCACTATGCTTTTGTCCGTCTCCCCAGTTGCTTGTGGAGAGGAGGGGATGCCAGCTGCTTAATAATGAGGAAAGGGGATTTGCTACGCAACTTGAGGTCCTTTGTTGGCAGGAATGTGGGAGGTGGAGGAAGCCTATAGCACAGAACTTTACCTCACATTTGGTCACTTCACTTCATTAGAAATGTATGCAAGCAATAATGGGGAAAATGACTGGTAAATTTACATACTTTGCTCCAACTGGAAAAGCATATTTTTAAGATATACAGTGAAAAAAGAAATGCTGTTACCTCACAGTTCTGCCACTGATTTGGAATGTTTGGCCTCAGTTTTTGTTCACAAACCACCCTTCGCATATCTTCTATTGAAGGATCAGAAGGCACAACATCATAATATGGTAACTGGTACTCTTCAACTATTCCTAGAAGGGAAATGTGGTACAAATGTACAGTTATTAGACCCACTTCAAATATTACAGAAGACCAGTTTTGAAATATGTATATTTAGTAAGGAGCCTAAGGCCATCCATCTGATCCCTAGCAGAATTATCTTTATATCGGCTTCCCTAGTCTGTGAGCTGCTCGGAACAACTACTTCTTAGAACGGAAAAGTGGGACTACCAGTAGCTGGATGTGTTAGTGTTATGATCCGCAAGTCCCCTCCTGACACGGAGGCACCCCCAGTAAATGCTGTAAGTTTGATTCTGTGCAGATTAGATGGGGTGAGTTTCTCCCTTTGTCATTTAATATTTCTTTTGATCATATTTTTTCACGTTTAGCTAGGAAGTATATGGCTGAGGTCTGACCCATGTCCCAAGAAGAAGGCGTTTTCTCCCCATGTGATCTAACACCACAATAATACTGCCAAGACATCTGGTCTGGGCCCTGGAAAATGCATGCAGAGGTCAGCATAATCTCCAGCTCCATCATATGCATTATTAACTTGTATATACGTTTATAAAGGTTTTTGCATCTCTGTTCCTGGCCTATGCGAAGAACGAATGCAGTGGCCTGAAACTTTCTAGCTAAGTATGTGGAATCTTGATAAAAGAAAGAGATGTACCTCCAACTGAGCATCTGCGTGATATCTCCCAGTATACCAGCCCAAGAGAATAGATATCTGCATGCTTGAAGGACTCAAAGATATTCATGTTCATTGTGTCATCAAGTATTTCTGGAGCCATGTACCTTCCAAATACAGAGATATTGAAACTCACTTCAAGGTTTACTAACGAAGAGAAATTGTATTTTCGCATAGTTAAGAAATGATAATCGAAATGGGGTGTTCACAAAATGAGGCTGCTATTTTGTTACTACCCTATCTCCTTCACAAAACTGCATTGAAGGGAAAGAGTGTATAGAATGTTGCCGTCCATTTGTAATCTTCCTGTATTTTCTCACTTCTTCGTTCCCATTTTTTCCTTACCACAAAGTATCTGTTAAGAAGAGAAGGACTCCTTTTGATTGGTACCACCAGACGTTGCTCGTTTGGAAGCAATGAGAGCTATAATTGTGATATTAATGAATTACTAAAATTGTTTGGTGGAAAAAAGGATGCAAGAAGACTATGTCTTCACAAAAGCCTTATAGGGGTAGGATTTTATATCAGTGATTGGATTTTCATGACCCGACAACCCATTGTGGGTGACAAACCATGATGGCTTGTTGTGTTGCACCAAGCCAGACCACTTGAGAGCAACAAACCATTCCAACAACCCATGGCCTGTTGTAGGTACACGCACAAAGATCAGGTTGGAATGCAATTGTCTGGTGCTCACACTCAGGGCTGGCCAGAAAGCAAGCTGAACTGAGATTATGTCTGCCCATAAATGCTAGTGAGTACTTTGAGCAAAATATGCAATTTTTGCACAAGACTCAAAAAGCACAGAATATTTTGCCCAAGAACGCAAACCATATAATTCTTTGTACAAAGTGTGCAAAGCCCATAAGTCATGTGTGTGGAAGAAGAACTCCACTTGAACTCCCTTCCTGCTGGATGCCCAGCACAAAGCATACTTAGGGAAAAGAGAAAGCGGGCCAGAGATGAGGGAGCTGAGCTGAGCTGAGCTGAGCTGAGCTGAGCTGAGCTGAGCTGAGCTGAGGAGATCCAACAGTTTCCCATCACTAAGCCAGGTTCTTCACACATCCCTAGTGGAAGGGGTTGTTGGATCCCCAGTGGACTGTTCTGTCATACAAACCTGGGTGAACAATTCCAGTGTGGCTGTGAGAAGTGGCTATTCCTGCTCTTGTTGCAGTAGGCCAGCCCGTCCCCTGTGCCAGCCATCCCACCAATGCCCGAGCAGCAAGACGCAGGGACTGTCATTGCTTCCCACTGCAGCCAGAAGCCTCTTGCGCTCACTGCAGCAATCACTGAGTTCCCAGCTAGCAACTAGCCCTTGACAGTCCCCCAGTGGCACCCTGGCGCAGCCCCTCTTTTAATCATTCTTTCGAGCTCCTGAAAATCCTGCCACCATGGTTGACATATTAAAAAGGGGGGGGGGGTAATCATTACATGTGAAGATTTAATTCAGTGTGTTATCTGACAGAGAATATTAGGTATGCACATCACAGAGACAAAGCCAAGAATTTTGAGCAAGACAAAGGTATTTTCTGAAGGCCGTTGGTATTCTGATTTCTTACATTTTCTGTTTTGCAGAGCGGCTGAGCTATTAATGGAACCACAGACCACATTTCATAAGGGAGAGTTTTCCTCCAAACGCAGCCTCATTTTCAGCTTAACACTGTTAGCAGCATAATTCCAAAGAAAAATACTACTTTGACCACTTTGCTGCCGTACCTCTTGGTTCCCACTCTAGGATTCTGAGGTATGTCGATTGTGTTGAGTAGTGAGTCATGCTTCACAGCAAGTCCCAGGTCAGCAATGGCACAAGTTTCATTCCTTTTGACTAGAATATTTTTAGATTTCAGGTCTCGGTGTGCAATAGCTGGCTTTCCTGAGAAGCACAAAAGAAACCACAGACTGAAACACCTTCCGTCGGTGTAGCAAAACAGTTATATTTAAGCAGAAAGTATACATCATGGGCAGGTTCACATGACATGAGCCTGCACAGAATAGTCTGTCATGTTGTCCAAACCCTGTTATGGCATTTTAGCATGGTATGTTTGGTTATCAGTAAGAGACAACCATCTGTTCTATGGTTTCCAGATTTTATCATGGTTTCTCTGGTCAGCTGAACCAGCTGCATACCAAGTTCCTGGTATGCAGCTACCACAGAGTCCCCTGGAAAGAGTGGCAGCTGCAGGAGCCACTCTAGCCATCCAGCATGGGACTGAATTTCAGCCACAGTGGCTGATGGGATGCTTGCCAACAGCAAGGCAACTGAACAGGGAGGGTGGAAACCATGCTGGCGTAGAAACCGCTTGATTGTCTGTCAGGTACCTCCAGGCAAAAAATCACACACTATAGAAACCATGCTTTTCATTAAGTGTACTCCTAGCCACTGTGTGTGTGCATGTGCATTTTTGAGGGAGAATGTGAACCATTAACTTCAGAAATGCCTTCTGCCCACAGTGCTTTCTCAGCCTTTGTTTAACTAGCAAAATCAGTCACCCACTATACAGTTTAATTATTTGTTTTCCTTATTCATTTATTGATGGGACAACAAAAATGAAAGAAACCTCTCATACCCAACTTAAGCTCCTCAGATTAAAGCTGATATTATTACTATTATTGTTACCCACTACACTTTTATTAAGTGCTCACACTGTTAATTTTCCAAATGGGGCTAAAGATAAAAAAAAACACCATGTCCGTCCACATACTTAGAATCTAATACATACAATACAGAGGGAAAGAAGGATATGATGGAAACAGGAAAACAAGCAAATGGAGATACTAATTATTCACAAAACTACACGAAAGTTTAACAACCAGGCAGAAAGACAAGTGAAGGAAATGGATCTGAGAAAGAATGAGCAAACAGTGGCTGATCCTGGCCAAGCTGAAGGTGGAAGCATGCCCCGTTACGTCTCCCACCCATTCAGAGCATTCCTTGATCCCATCTGAAGGGAATGTCATGGGCAGACATCTGTGCTAACAGGTCTACATACCTTGCGTGCCAACAATCTCCATATGAAGATGCGCTAGGCCGCTTGCTATTGAAAAGGTCAGCTTTACCATCCGGTCTGCTGTCACCGCATTGCTGTTTAAGTAGTCAAACAAAGAGCCTTGCTCATAGTATTCAGAAACAAGCCACAGCTGAGTCCATATTCCATTATCTGTGGAGAGAGATCTTTTTATTTAACACTAGTTTGTGTTGAAAACAGTGCAGCACAAGGGTTCCGTAACTGTAAAATTAACCAGGCTTTGCAGAATCCTTTGTCAGAGGTATATCCAGCAACACAGAAGAGTCCATCAGGCCCAGACAGCATTTCACCTGCTAAAGCTGCAGTCCTCAGCACGCTTACTAGGCAGTAAGTTCCACTGGACACAGAAGTGCTCCTGTTCACGGGAAGGTGCACAGACAGTGCTACACTGGTTGGAAATCCCTTGTGAAAATCAGCATATTAGAACAGCCTTCCCCAACCTGGTACCCTGCTGGCTAGGAATGATGGGACTTGCAGTACAATACATCTGGAAGGCACCAGCTGGAGAAGAAGGAATTAGACACAGAATGGGAAGTTCCAAGCACTGCCTGTTTGCAGGCTCCCTTTTCCCATTTGCTCAGCAGGTCCTGAACTGCATTAGGACCACCCATTTTGACCATTTGGTTAGAGCAGCCTTCCCCAACCCTGTGCCCTCCAGACATTTTTCTCTACAGCCACCAGAATTCCTGAAGATTGGCTTTGCTGGCAGGGGCTGATGGGCTTTGCAGTCCAAACCATCTGGTCAGCATCACTTTGAGGAAGGCTGGCTTGGAGTCTTAGATGGCCAAGTATGCGTGTTTAGATGGAAAAGGCCTTACAGTTCCCAGCATTCCCCAGCCAGGGTGGCTGTCTAGAAAATGTTGACTGTTGAAGACTTTTGGTTGTTAATATATTTTAGCTTTAATTGGGCGATTCCACTTTGAGTATAACCACACCTGGATCTTGCGGAATCCCTTTTCCTCTCTCCACTTTCCAAGGGCTAATACTTACTTGTTGCTTTACATGGAGAACTGGAATATCTCTTCCTCCAGACCTATTTTCTGAATAAGTGACTCTTCAAATGGAAGAGTAGACTATAACACACACTCCTTGGGAAAGCAAAGCAAAGCAGGCCTTCAAATGTGATTCCCACACTGGCTTATTTGTTAACATGGGAATGGGAAGGATGTACTGCTATTCTACCATGGGTGGAATCCAAGGCAGTGCATTAAATAAAATCAAATGAATAAAATGGAGCTATGTAAATCGCCTTGGGTTCCACAGAAGAGGACAAGCTAGAGATACAATGTAATAGTAATATCAAAGAACATCATAAAAGAACCACTAAAATTCAATCACACACACACACACACACACACACTCCCTACCATACAGTTACACATAAAAAGATGCCAGAAGAGCATCGGTAATTATCCATTATTTAAAAAGAGTGCTGAAAGCAGTGTTAAAAAATACCCAGATGTACAGAGTAGAGGCCAAGGGGCGAAAAAGGGCCTGCAGAGAGTGCCCAAGCCTTGGCAGACTGGTGGGCAACTCCATGAGCCACATTAGGCCAAGGAGCCAGCCCTTCCCTGTGATGGACTCTGCCTGATAATAAAGGCAACACACGGGCCTCCTATGGGAAGAAGTTCCATAATTGGGACAAATCTGGAGAGGAAATGGCTACTTCGCTCTGGCAAGAAGCAGTCTCCATCCCCACTGGTGAAGGCCTTCTGGAAGGGGGTCTCCACTCATGATCTCAGCTGGCCATGCCCCCATGGGAGTCATAGAGGAATCCTGGTAGCTCACAGCAGTATTGCAAAGTGCCCCTTCCCTTCCCTTCCCTTCCCTTCCCTTCCCTTCCCTTCCCTTCCCTTCCCTTCCCTTCACCAAAAGCAATCCAACATCAGCAAAGATATTATCTAGCACACAAGAAGCATTGCGAAACTGTTTGAAAGTGCCACACCTTTGTTATCAGCAGCAATAAAACCCAAGATATTTTCATGCCTCAGCATTATTGTTTGATAGATTTCTGCCTCTCGAAACCAAGACCTTTCATCCCTCGAGGAAAAGATTTTCACAGCAACGTCTTCGCCACACCATTTTCCACGCCAGACTTCACCAAATCGACCTTTTCCTACTGTTTCCTGAAGAACAATGGTCCTTGCAATTGTTCTCTGGACAAGTAACGGTAACCCTAATAACAGAAATATTGGTGTTTTAAAACACAGCGTTTACAAAATTCTTTAAAAAATACTACCGTGCCACAATATATACAGAATGATGGTCTCTGATTCATGAAATCCATGTCATATTAAAAAAAAATGGCAGCTTCCCACTGTTTTTGATGGTGGATTGCTCTCCAACCATATGCCATTTAACAGCAAATTCAGGTGGTAGCAACAGGACTTGGCTTGTACAGTGGTACCTCCGCTCACGGATGCCTCAGTTCATGATCAAATCGGGTCGCGAACAGAAATTTCTGAAAAATTTTGCCTCGGGTTGCAAACTCTGCATCGGGTGACAATTGCGATTGCGCTCGTCTTCCCCCCCCCCCCCCCCCCCCCCCGTGCCCCCGTGATTGCCCACATCCCCCCCCCGAGCACACCCGGGATTGTGCCTGTCTCCCCCCCCCCACCCCCACCTGTCTATGGCCACAATTGCAGTCGCGCTCATACAGGGATGACGGGCGCAATCACAGTCATGCTGGGGGGGAGATGGCCATGATCTCTGTTGTTCTTTGTCACTTTGTGTCAAATTTTTGGTTAAAAAAATAGTTACAGAACAGTTTAACCTTATTTACATTGAACCTTATGGGGAAATTTGACTTGGGTCATGACCAATTTGAGTCACGACCAGAGTCCTGGAACAGATTAAGTTCATGAGCCAAGGTACCCCTGTATAGAACAAGTACATCAAGAAGTTCGAAGAAGTGCACCAACAATAGCAAAAAGTGACTCTCTAAGGGGGCAGAAAGTACCCCCTACCTACAACTCAACAAGGATCAAGTATGCTGAGCAACGCAGATAGTTGATGTTCAGCTAGAAAGGGAAAGGAGGAGTGAAGCATCCTGGAAGAGGAGATGGCTGGCTGAGACCCCAAACAGGAGTACTAGTGTTAAGACATGACAACATATTGCAACAAGATGCCTTCTATTCGCATTAACCACAGTGGATTGTTGTAAATGAAGGTCAGCTAGATGGGCTCATGGAAAAAGGCTAGGGCATTCTCTAATTTAGTTTATATTAAAAAGGACAATTTGGGGAATAAGCCTGGATGTTTCTCTCAATATATCTTATGCACATTGCTAACTGAAAGCAGTGCCCACACACCCAGAATAGAAAAGAGCAAGAATAGAAAGCCAGCGTGGTGTAGTGGTTAAGTGCACAGGGTGGGACTCAAGAGATCGGATTCTCAGTCCTCACCCAGTCATGGGGCCGACTGAGTGACTTTGGGCCAGTCACAGACTCTCAGCCCAACCTACCTCACAGGGCTGTTGTTGTGGAGATAAGACTGAGAGCAAGAAGAGGAGAATAATGTAATCCCCTTTGAGTTCCTTGATAGGAAAAAGGTGGGATAAAAATATAATTAAGTCACCTTTGTCTCCAAAGTTAAAGTATACTCACCAGGGAAGCATGTCACCATGCATGTGCTTGCACAGTCCTGAACGATCCTTCATGGTGGTTCACCATTTTCTCCTCTTTCTATGACCTATGACAGCTTAACCAGCTAGTGATCTCTGGTGAACTCTAGTGAACCCTAGCACATCTCACAGCAGGAGCAAACTTTTTGCCCTCCTCTAAAAACTGGGACTAATATAGAACAAGTTTGCCATAGTTGTTCTACATTTGGGATGAGGCTGCGTTAGTTTGGTTTGGATTGGTCTGGCTAATTCAGCCACAAGGATGGTGGCCGGATTGCAGGGAAAGCCATATGAAGTGAGACGGAGGGAACTGGTTCTTTTCAGCCTGGAGAAGAGGAGACTCTGAGGGGATCTGTTAGTGACATAGAGGTACATGAGGGGGCATCACACGGAGGTGGGTAGAGACCTGTTCTCCCCTGCAGACAAAGGCAGGACACACTCCAGCAGAGCCAAGCTCAAGGAACCAAGGTTCAATTTGGATGCCAGGAAGTACTTCCTGACAGTTACAACCCTAGGCATATGGAATGGGCTTCCATGGGAGGTGACTGAAGCCCCGTCAGTTCAAGGACAGTCTAGACATGCACATGGTAGGCATGTCATGAGTGGAGCTGGCTGGAGCCGGGGGTAGGCTAGATGGCCTGGGAGACCCCTTCTGACTTGCTCTGTTTCTAGTTTCACAATTCCCAAGCAGATGCCTGGATAATAAAGTGGTCCAGGTTAATGTCAAGGATGATGACCAAGCACATCAACTCAAAAGTGGTGTAACCACCATTAAAATGGCCTCTTTTAGGAACACCCACTGATAGATTGGTCCTAACACCAGGCCTCCTGGGCACTCAGCTTAGAAGAAAAGAGAGTTTAGCCCCTGTCTCTACTTCACATGTGGCATGGTGTTAAGTAAGGAGATTCATCTAAATCTACACTTATTTCAAAACAGTTTTACTGTTTCTGGCTCAGGAAACAACCCGAAATTGTCAGTCTGACCTTTGAAGCCGAAACCTTTGTCACTCACAGACACATAAAGAATAGTCTGGAAATGCTGCACAGACTCCAGTCACTACAGCTTTCTACTCATGAACCCCTTCCACATTTGGCTTATGGTCAGATATTGCTTAGAATAGCTAAGATGGTGCTTTTTCCTGGAAAACTCAGCTTGTTGGTGGAGAAATACACCAAAAATGCTTACTGCAGTTGAAATTTCTAAAGCAACCATTGACTTAGAATTAAACAGGTCTTAGTAGATCGTGGATCAAGATCTCAGTAGATCTTGTGGAACACCTAGAGCAGGACTGATATGTAAGTTCTGTACCACATGGGAAAGCAATGTGCCTGTCACGGCAAGCATGGGGGTTGGACCCGATGGCCCCTTCTATGATTCTATACACTCCCACCATGTCAATATGAAGGCACACGTTAAGCATCCATGGAAATGCCAAGTTATCCTGCAATGCGTGTACAACATACCAGATCCTGACCCGGATGTTGTCATATCAAAAATAAGGTCTCGGAGGCTTTTGCCTGGATTCACCAGATTGCATTCCGATAAAGGTTCTTCAATGTTTGGCCTTCTTTTCTTCCTGAATCTGCAGTGGTGGCCTTGACAAGTGTATACAGCCAGCATGAGAACTACCGACAAGATACATGTGGGTACGGTTATCATCACTGTCAGCTCCATCGGTCCCAGCTTTGATTTGCTTGAAGTATCTTGACCTTGAAGATAGACAAAACAGATGTGGTGCGCATCTTGTATGCTCTATTCCCATCTCAAAAAGTCTTAGATATACTTTTTAAGGGAAGTGACCCAATGGTTTTATAGGGACAATATCCAACACAGTGTGTGGCTTGACAGAGCAGTGCTTCATTTCCCAGCCCCTTTGCTCCTCCAGATATGCTCCAGAAAGTCCCTCTATCCTCCAAAGCCATTTTTGAGTTACATAAAACTCTTAATTGAACAGATGCCTAACTACACAACTTTTGCTGTGTGATAATGAGTAGTACCCAGTGAGTCCCTCTAGCTTCTGTCAATGTAACCTTCCTTCTTTTGCATCAAGGGAGGTGATCAACTGCAGAGCAGGATGAATCACAGCCTTGCTCCACTACACTGATGGAAATTAGAAGGGATCAGTGGATGCCTCTCATTATTTCAGTGTACAGGGTTAGAGTTGTGAAGTTAGCCATCTGTTTGATAAAGTGTTCTGTGTATCTCAAAAGCTCCCCACTCAGCATCATCAGTCAGTTGGACAACAAGGAAAGACGTTTATCATTTTTCTCATTCATTGCCTTTCAGTTGGTTGACCAAAGGGAATAGCCTTTTATATCTCTCAGTAACATGATAAGATACGGAAAAGGTATTACACAAAAAACAAAAGCTATACGCTCTTGTAGGTTCGGCGGAAGATTAGATGGTACACAGAGGACCTCTGGTGACAGAAGGGGGAACTGCAGGGTTGAACGTGCTAAGTAGGGACCTCTGCTGAGCGGAAATGGTATAAGAACATGGTGGATCAATCAGCGTGAGGTTGCAGGGCAGGGACCGCAGCTAGAACTGAAGGTGGGCGACACGCTATTTATTTTAATTCTTTTACAAAGTTGCATTAGGAATTTTATTGGCAGGGGTGGCAGCTAGAATGGAAGGTGGGGAAGACATTATTTAAAGTAAAGTCTTCTTGCAAAAATTAGAATAGGAATTACATTTGCATCAGCCACAAAACATTGTATTGCATCATACATAAAACACAGTGGATAGGATAAAATTGAAAAAGTAAAAACTATAAAAAAATATTTACATCCACCATGGAATTTATCAATTAAAACACTACTGAGAAAACAGATTGACCAAAATGAATCAAAAACCAGGAGTCAGGGCACAACACGATTTAGAGCACTTTATTTTAATTTTGTTGAGCTTTCTGTCACCTGCTTTTATCGTGATTGAGAGGAATGAAAGATGGCTCTGATCTGATATATACCCTAAAAGAACATTAATAGAGGACTAATTAACTCTTTCCAAATTTATCAATAGAAGGAAGGCATGTCATGAGCGGAGCCGGCTGGAGCAGGGGGTCAGACTAGATGGCCCAGGAGGTCCCTTCTGATTCGCTCTGTTTCTATGTTTCTATCTCTATCTATGAAAGGAATGAAGCAACAGTGCATGATCTCCACATGCATATACATCATGTTACAGTGAAACTCTCTGAAAAAGACCTTCAGATAAGGCACAGGGTCTTGCCAGATGCCTGGGCATATCAGGAATAAAGTGTGTGGGGACTTGCCAGAACAGCTTATAGCCCAAGACCCTTGTCTCGTGCTCCTTCCCGAACAGCTGGCATGCCCTAGCTAAATCCAGGATAAATCCTACAAGAGCCCATGCTGTGATTTTAGCAAATCACAAGTGGCGAAGAGTATGGGTTCCAGCCATGGAGCCCGAGTGTGGCTGCAGCATGTCAGTGGCAACGTAAGGAGGAAGAGCCAGGCCACAGCAGCTCCCATGCTGCCATCATAAAAGAAGAAAGGGTGCTGGCAGATGTGGCACAAAAAGGCAGTGGCGTAGTAGAGCCACGAACACAGGGCCAGCACTGTCTTGAATGCTGCCACCCCATTCAAAGTTCACTTTCCTCTACCTTCCCAACATTTAGGGACTGGACTCACTCCTCCCATGATACAGCCTTCAAACGTTGTTAACTCGGACTGTGATTCAGAAGCCGCGAAGGAGGCGAGTGTTTCAGTTCACAGCTGGAACACCAGGGCCAATGGATCCAGAGACAAGCCAGGCAGTTGCTGAGTTCCATGAGGAATTCCAGCAAGCAAGCCAAGAAGGGTGCGGGTGGACTTGACATGATTAGTCCACTCATATGGCATCTAGTTCCGAGGGCGGACTAACTGAAAAGCACTGGCGACTCCTGGCAATTGACCCACAAGTACCAGGCCCACTTGAAGGCAGAGCCAGCCAGTCTTTCTATGGAAGGGAGAAGTATTTAGTTTGGAATCAACTGAGGCACATTTCCCTAACGGCCGGTGTTCTGTGTTTGTAGTTTTGCTATCCAGCCTAGCTGGTCAGCTTAAGCACAGTAAAGACTTGTAGATGGGAAGTATTGTCCTGGTCTGAGTGGAAGGAGCAGGAGAAGACCGGCTTGGACACTACCAGTAGCTTTTGGAATGAGGGCGAGGGTAACTTTTCCCAAGAACAATATAGATGGTTCCCAGTTGGAATGCAGAGAATGTTGGGGTGCCTGGGCTTGGGTGGGCAACCCAGGTCCATCGGTTTTACGCCAGACCTGCTCCAAGTGGAGAGGAAAATGGCTAGAACTGGGTTGTGGATATGGACTAGCACAGTGCCCGGCATTTCTCTGTTCTCCTTAGGGGCTCATCTATGGGCCATGATAAGTTCCTGTGCTTCAAAATTTTGCCACTATGTCACAGCAAAAAGAAAATGGTTCACAGCTGAGACAAGAAGTCAGCCTTCAACTATGGTCGTTTCAAAACAAATAGGCAGAGCAACCTGGGACGAAAAACATGAATGATAGTTAACCCCAGTCAGAGTTTACAAAGCAGGTAGGAACATGGTGTGTGTTTTTAAAACCAGGGTGGATGACTCCATAAACATCATAAATAGTTTATGGAGAAGGGCAAAAATGTGCAAGAAGAGTATATTTGATGCTTTCCAAATTGACCAAAAACAAAAGCTTTTTCTGGTTTGGAAAAAGTTGCCATGTAATAGAGTTCGGGGGGGGGGGGGCGAGATGCTAAGAGGACACAGGTCAATTTCAGCTGCAGGATACACAGTGATAAAGTGACACCTACTGCCTTAAATGTAGCTAATTACTCTGTCATGTGCAGCCAACATTCTGCTCCGGTAAATAAATCCCTCCATAGATCGGCTGTCACAGCCAATAAGCTTATCGCAGAGGTCAGACTTGTGTTCAACAAAGAAGTTCCACAGACACTGCCCCCCTCTTTGCATGTTCCTCACCCAAAGTAACACATCTGGAGCAGAAGCACCACCAAGCGTCCATGCTTAAAGTGCGAGTGATCGCGCAGGGACACAGGCAGCCCACAGAGTCTCCCACGCATGGCCAGTGCATAAAAGGTGCACCTGTCATGTTCAACATGCACTTACGTCCTGTGTGTTGGTCATTTGCGCACCAGTTTGCATGCCTCTGCTGCATGCAGATGCTCAGACGGGAAAGCACTCTATACAGGTTCAAAACAAACAATGTCCAGAAGCACAAGATGAGGTTGTACCAAATGGATCTCAGTGATTTCCGTCCTACCATCAACACCCAGCCAAGCCTGATGTCAGATGGATATTCTCAACAGTCCATTGTTTGCTGAGGAGATATCCTCTCCCCTACTCTGCTGCACCCCAGCCAAACTTTCCAGATGATTAGCCCCAAAGGGACCTGTTCTCACTTTAGCCTAACATGATACAGCTCCTGAGGATGCTTTACTGAAGGAGTTAAATGCACAGTCTCTTGGCTGTTTGGTTCAACCTTGCAGGCAAGAAATGAACCCTTTCAGATAAGTTGCTTGCAAGATCCATCAGTCAATATGACCTATGACATAAAGGTACATGTCAGTACACAACAGAATCCTTTCTGGCATCTAAATGTTTTGTATTTTGTGTGAAAGGTTAGTATGGCCACCAGCCAACAAACTGTTTCATTCCAGTTTTTGATTCAGATTACTAAACAAGCCACAAAGGGCATATCTGCACTAAATATTTATCTAAGTTTAATTATTATTGTCCTCCTGGATATGGCAGCTATTATTTATGAATTATTTAATAGGTTTTAATACTGCTTGAATTATTTTGAAATAAGTTGCTAGACAAGATGTGAACCAGATGTGAACCTTTGGTGTGAACCAGCTGGGTTCTCGACACTCATAACTATGACGGCAGTGTCCTCAAATGTTCGACCAGAGGCGATTACATTTTTCAGTGCTCTGGAAATCTGCTTCTTGCTTCTTCCTTACAGCTCAGTGCCTTTGCTTGGAAGTATGGGCCACTGATTTTAACTGAGCTTACTTCCAAGTATGCATGCTCAAGAATTCAGACACTACTCTCCCAAGGGTTTGATCAAAAGATTATTATTTCTGTCTGGGCAGAAAGAGAGAAGGTACAAAGAAATCCAGGAACACAGAATGTTCTGTCTATTGAACACTAAAATCTATTTATAACTCCATACTAGGACACCCAGAGACAAGTCATAAGAGACATCTACAGTGTCATAAGGATAAACTTATAAACTACCCTGAAAATACAAAAAAAAAAGTTATACAAAATGAAATGATAGCATGACTCAAGTCTGGCCAAAACAAGAATTAGTATTGCCCCATCACCATGTTTCTTTCTCAGGAAACATAAAATAAATCTCCTGTTGATTTAATTGTCTCTAATGGAAAACAGTAAAAAAAAAAGTTTTGCACTTCCAGTGTTTGAAAACCTAGCCACTTATTCATGTTCAAAAACAGAAGTTGTTTATAAATTAACTTGCAATCAGCTGTATAAATGACAACTGCCTGATGGGTTTAAAGTACCATGTGAAGTACCATAGGCGGCTAATGAAGGCCATTTCAGAGCGATGGAAGAGGATGTTATTTGGTTGCTAAGCAGTTGAAAATAGCCCTCAGAGAAGCAAGATAAATGGAAAACAATATATAGTAAGAGTAAACCAATTACAACTACTAGCAGAAAAACATATTGATACATA